TCTTATGCAGTGTCGTTCGTAACATTATGTGCTATATAAACGGGCATTTGGGGACTATACAGGTGCGGCGCGCGGGTTGCAGCAAAGAAGTGCGGCGCCCAAGTAAATCCTTAGTAGGCAACTAGAGATTTTATTGTATTACAGGATAATACACTTGCAATATTTATAGGACGTATTATCTTATAAGTACAGCATGTGCTATTTAATATAATTACAATATAATACAAACCCTAGTGCGTTCTTCCGTGTGCATGTAGCGAAAGGCACTTCCGTCGGGTATAATTTACCAGGAACATGCTAGTAGATAAGACCAAAAGATAAGATTCCAGTCCCAGTTAGCAAGCTTAGACTCATAGAGAAGAATGGTGGGCTGCTCCCTCTATCCGCACCAACCTTCTTCACAAGGCGGCTTCGTCTTGGATGGGTGACGATGGGATGATAAAAGTAGAGCTCGCACACGGCGACTGTAACATCTCGGGCTTTGCTGCATGGACCGCACATGAGCTTGGTCTCGTCGCCTACAGAATGTTTGCCTTTGGAGATAGACGCCAGTACGAAAAGTACTTGACCTGCTTTATTGAACGCTTGGGGCTTAGTCTGCGTGTTTGATGGCGAAGTTGAACCCCGCACAATTTGGCTTCTGTTTCGTCGCGGTTTTTGGCCGAGGTGTAGCGCCTTATCGGGAATAATATATAGCAACATTGAAGGGATTTAGGTGTCAAGCCTTTATAGTCTGGTATAATACTATATTACTAATACGTTACGACTTTTCCACATACTAAGAATCGGGGAAAATCAGCGAAACTTTTTAATTCCAGCTGTGTATTTACTATGAGTAAAGGACTTAGATTTACTTATTCTATTAAATAAATTTTCATCTTTTCACTTAGTTTTACCTTTTTTTTTGTTGGTTCCTTGCCCACGATGGACCCCTTTGCTACCTGGATATCGAGCGGCACAACAAGTAGACGTACATGGCATGTCGGACCGACAGCCCATACCCACATGTCGACAACAGAACTTGACAACTCGATACAATCTGTTAGGACCTGCAGGAGTGCATGACGGCACCTCCTCGGCGAGGTCGGGATGTGACCCCATTCCTCCCCCGCGGGCGAGTCGCTTAAACTTTTCTGATATTTTATCCGAAGCGAGCCATGCAGCGAGTCACAACACCCCAAAACCTGGGACCAGGACGTGACTAATAGACCAGTTTACAACCCTGGTATAGCCTTATTTGGCGTAGCGCTACGTGAAAACAAGTTTATATCATGTTAACCCCCCATAAAGCCAGTCCAGGACCCCCTCTGCCATCAAGCAGTCGGCCCGGTTCGACGAAAGGACACCAGAGTACGTACCCAAGAGACCAATCATCTACCGGCGGCAGGATCCCGCGTGTGGGGGAAGAAGCAGGGGCGGCAGAGCAAGAAAAGCAGCGACCAAAACGCCTTTGCCGGCAAACCCCAACCAAAACCGTTGCAAACAGCAAATCGACAACAGAAAACCAAGCAGCAGCCTCAATATCCACAAGCGGTGAAGCAAACGGGGAAATAAGCTCCAGCAAGTATCACCCTCGGCCGTATGTCGCTCAAATAAGCTTTCATGGCGCCACAATGGAGGATCCAAACGGCACCGACAGACAAACACCGCAGTTGGCCCAGTCTATTTCCCCATGTTCTGTTACATGACTTCTCTTTCTTGTTCCCCGCAGCGCCACAAACCGGGGGCCTAGTTGCGGAGTCTCCGCGTCGAGAAACACTCGCAGGCAAGCACCAAAAGCAAACCAAATGAGGAACCCATGACTATTGAAAAAGAGAGGGGAGGTGGAAAATGCGCCGCAGGGGCGGGACGGGAGGGAACGCAATGACCCCGTTCACTCGATGCCCGCTGCTGAACTTATAAGACGGTCGGGCTCCCATCTCATGCTGAACGAGGCACATGGTGTCCATCGCCACTTGCATCATGAAACTCTGGACGAGCGTGCTCTTTTCAGGCCTCGCCTCCGCGGGCGCCCTGGTCAACCGTGATGGAGACGACGCCCTGGCCAAATGTCCCGGCTACACGGCGTCCCACGTCAAGACGTCTGGGTCCGGGCTGACGGCCGATCTCAGGCTCGCGGGGAAGGCCTGCGACGCGTACGGCGACGACTTGAAGCAGCTTGTCTTGGAAGTCACCTACGAGACCGGTAAGCTCGCCGTGAAAGGGAAAAAAAAATGCAGGGCCGCAGCTAACGACAGGCAGACGACCGGCTCCACGTCAAGATCCAGGACAAGGACAACCAAGTATACCAGGTGCCGGAGTCCGTGTTCCCGCGGCCCGGCGGCTCGTCGTCGGCGTCCGCGAACCGCCCCCGGTTC